CACCCTCTTATGCTTCCCAAGTTACCCCAACCTACTCCTCATACCATTCTGACCAATCATCTCATTCTCCAGACACCCCCCGAATCTCCCCAGAGCTAGATAATTTTATTACCCTTCAACAACAACCCTACCACCTTAATACCCCAACCATAAACCAAATCTCCTCCACAATAAATTCATCCAACCCCCCTACCCCTACACCCTCTTCAAATTATACTGAATCATTAGCACCATCATCCACATCAACTGAATCTTCACTCAACACTAATAGAGCTTACCGCACTTTTAAAAGAAAGTTCCCCAACCATCCTTTCCCAGCAAAACCAGGAACAGCCCGTGAATACATCAACCACCCCAAGCATACTAACACAAAAGAATTTTTAGCCATCACCTTACCCTCATTCCCACAATACACCTTAAACACCCCCCACGACACTAACGAAACACGCAACTTTGTAGATGAATACGTTTTAATGCCCACTCTCTCTTGGACCTCATATTATCATTTTACTAACCCTCTTTGCTTACCTTTATCTAACACTCACATCGATATAGAGCGAAATACGGACATGCTATATCGACTCACCACACCACTAACCGCTAGACAATTTACTTACGTTGGATATAAAAAATCACTAAAAACACACACTGCACCTAGAGCTAACGAATATACACTCGAATACTATGATCACAACATCATCAGAGCTAACCAAGATCAATTCTTAGACGACGATCGCTTCGCTAATCCACAAATTACTGAGAAATTTTTCATCAAGACACCATATATATTTACACTAAACATCTTCGACCGAAAGTTTGATCACATTATTTCAGAAGCACTAACAGACACACAAGCATACGAAAGTTTTAAAGAACGCTTCCAAATATTTTCACTAACCTTTCATTTCCTTGCACCACACGAAAGAGATTTACACTGCTCACACGATATTATGTTGCGCACTAAACAAACCCACACATATAGTTATTATCGCTTCATCCAAAATCACTTTGACCTACACACACCCTCTAGACAACCACACCATCGTTTTCAATTCATTCATTCCAAATACACTTCACCATTTTTCCTAAATTTCACATATTGTATTAAAGACACTAACCTCCATGGTATTCTTCGTAATTATGACCCCATAACCCAAATGTACATCTTCTGTCCCATCACCAAGACCTTCAACGCCGAAGAATCCCGACCCTTCCTTATCCCGCACGAGTTTGTACAACCTATAGAAATCCCAATTTTAGAATTCATCCACAACACTAAATTCAATCACAAATTATATAATCTAATCCAAAACACACCTTATGAGTTTGCAGTTGGCACTGAAGAACTAACCACTATCAAGGCACTCCAATTGCTTTGGCCACTGCTTCAAACTAAAAATATCATCCGCATCTTAGCTAAACTACTAACAACTTCAGAACTAATTCACGACATCTTCCCCCACGGTTTTTTCCCCGACGACTAACAGGTAAGTATGAATTAAATGAATATTACTAACTAATTGAAATATTAAAAAACTCACCATACTTTATTCATGTTTTCTTTAGATTTTTAGCCTTCATCCGACAATCACCTACAAAAACCACAAAAGACAAATAAAAATCGCAAATTTCATCAAACAGATTTCAAAAATTCTATTAATCTCTTACACTTATAAATTTATAAATTTAATACCAATGCAATAAATTCATTTCTAAAATTTTCCCCACAAGCAGTAAATCTAATTATGATGAAAATTTGTAACTTAAAATTCCCCCATAACTAGCAGTAAATTTCCAAATTCTATGCAGTAAATTAATAAAATGCAAATGCAGTACTAACCTTTTGATATTCTCATTCATTCGCACAGAAATTCTATCCACACTCGCACAGCTCGCCCACGAAGAATTGTTTAAAATAATGAATTTCAGTTTCAAGTTTTCACACTCAACAACTCTAACATATAATAACATGTTTCAATCTTTCCTTTAACCCGGTTGGAAAGGAATCATATACTAAACAAAACTAACCAACGCAGCTTACTAAATACCACAAATCATAGAATAACAGCATGACTAAGAAAAGGAAACCAACGGTACCCAAACCGGATTAACCCAGTTTAAAACTGGATAATTTATTCTTTTGAGGACTATTATAAAGTCTAAGAAAGAAATAATAAAACACAAAAAAGTCAAAAGACAAACCCATACCACGAACAATTTGCTTTTTGGAAAAAGGACATAACCAACAAGACATAAGAAAAACCACAACAAACCCAACATAAAACGTTGTCACATAACAGGACCCCTCACAAAAACCGCATGAAATCATACTCCCACTCCCGGCCTAACCCACCAGGAAGGACGTCCTGAGCATGCTCTATAGCCGGCCTAACCCACCGCGCTACACCCACGCTTTGTGACCACACCTCTATTTTTAATAAGAGCTACTCAAGTGTGAGTAACTCTTCAAAATAACCGAACTAAAACAAAAAGCTTTTGTGAAAACAACTAACTAAAATCATAATTAAAAAATATTAAACTAATAAATGTTTTATAAAATGTAAATTACATTATGCAATACATAGATCAGAATACAATACCAAGGACGAACATCTAAAGACAAAACGACCCCACTACACTCGAGAGAGAATGACCAACCACAATCGATATGCCACTCACAATCACAACTCAAAGGATTTAGAGTACGACTTGACTTCGCAGAAAAGGACTTCATTGAACTAGACCAATGACCACCTCGATGTTCAAGTATACGTACAGATCCGAGTAACCAGGCATCCCCTCCACGCACAATCTCCACGCCATTCCCAAACTAGATCAGACACAAAAGAAGTTCTCCACGCAGAACAGAAAAACCTGACATAGCCAACCATTCTGAAATCAGATTTGAGTTTGTTGCGAAGACTTAGTCGTTGTCACTAGAAGACACAACGTCTTATGTCTCTAACTCCAGCTTCCTGGAACTTCTTTAACAAAAAGGAAACAGAAGAAACAAGATGTTCGCCAAACACCAACGTCCATCATCCATCCTTCGAATTGCAGAAGAACTATTCTAAAAAACTCTGTAAAACCCGGATGGGTGGAACCTGATCTAAACTACATTTTATGATTGGATAATTTAGATATTTTACCAATGTAAAGTATTTAATATTAACCAATCATGATCCATCTAACTAACAACCCACTTATTTGTAAGTGCTGAAGTTACTTGTAATTTCAGCACCAGAGAGATTTGAATTTAACTTAGAAATTAGTTGGACTCTCCCGAGCACTTCAGCAGCCGCAATAAACCAGTATACCCTAGATCTATTGAGCCTAGCAGAGACTAGTTAAACAACCTGAGACTAGATAGTATAAGAGTAAGATTAGGATCGGTATTAGACTAAGAAGTTGCACGAATCTATCCGGCCGAAAATAAGATAGCGTGACGAGCAGACGGTGTACCCTATCCGAAATTACTCTATGAGTTAACCAACTCGGTCCTAACTCAAAATGTGCAAGTTTGTAAAAACTATGACAAGAATTTTTTCAATATCATTTAGAAATCTGAGTCCGCCGTTTTTTTTTTCGTTGCAGCTAGTTTTTGCAACGAGACATTTTGGGACAATTTTGGAGTCAGGCAGTGTCGAGATTTGAACAAATTTTGAGATCGATTATATGCTGTTGTTTATCTGGTATTAAACACGTATAAAAGACACTTATTTGAAAAATTGTCTGCGCTACCACGTAGTTTTTCTTAAATGTGTTGTATTGGATTGAAGCTTGAACTGTACGCCTCTGGGAAAATTTTTGTGAATGTCTGTTCCCAAAAACTCAACTTGTCAGAAATCAAATAAAACTAGTAATTTTTACGAAACTTATAGCGTTTTTGATTTGCAAAGATGATCATGTCCTTGCTAGATCATCATTAAAATTTTATTATTTTTGGTGTAAATTTTGTAGTGCGTTTAGTGGCTCAAATGTATCGATTTCAACTCTATCGACTTCAAACTCTAGCTTTCCTGTTAATTCTAATCTTCATTTTTGATTGGCTGGTGTATAAGTTTTTGTAAGTCAGAAGATGAAAAAAACTTAGACTTCAAGCGGTAATTTTTGCAAAATCTTGGAAAAGCTTTTTACAAATTGTTTAAGAAGTGTGATGAGCAGGCGCAAGTATAGAATAAGCTTGAAGTGAATACAGGTTTTCAAAAATAAATTGAAAATTTTCTTGATTTTTTTCTTCTATGTAAACAGTATTGTTTTTCCGAGCTTTCCCAAAAAATATGAATATATATCCCATTTGTGAAAAATTAGGCCAAAATAACGTTTTCGAAAAGCATTGAACAATAAACTGCGTCTTTTTTTGGCGCGGGCTCCCCCTCAAATTTAGTGTGGTTTGGCGCTGGAGGCGCCATTATAAAACTTATGATCGGACAGTTTAAAACGGATTTTGTACACTAGTATCAAAGGGGCCTGCCTTTTTTTTAGTAAGGGTATCAAATCCTTGTGGGCAGTATCCGTTTATTCACCCTTCAAAACCTGCAGGCGATGAAAACTAGAACTATTTACGCCTCTGGTATCATTTATGAACCAGTTCTTGAGATGAACCGATTTGACCATCCTAAGAAAAATTCCCTCATCTTAAAACTTCTCACAAGACTAGTAGGAATTTCTGCTATCTTACAACTTGATTAAAAAAATTTTTTAAGATAGCGACCGGTTGATTTGAAAACTGTTCTGGTAGTCAAAAATAGTCTGAAGGTAAATCACAGCAAGCAAAGAAAAATTCATAACGAGTTGCATAAATTCATTGCAAATTCATATATTCATTGCAAAAAAAATCCGTTCTTTTTTCGCAAATCACATCATTTTTTCCTTGACATTGCACGTGGCTTGAAAACTAGCAAAACTTTTGAATTAATTGTAGCGACTTTCGAAGAAAGTGCGGAATAATTTTTTTTCTCAAGTCGAAGGAAAGAGCAGACTATGTATTTGAACAACCATGACTACGAAAAGTTCAATTCACATACCAAAAAATACTTTTGCGGCAATCCATCAACACGTGGCATCAAATAAAATAGAATTAAAAGGACAATAAAAAGGCTTTAGCATCGAAATATGAATGCTTTACTACATACACTTCGGTTACAAAAATTAAAACACGCGAATATGACAATTTTTAAACTTTAGACCCGATTTTTTTATTTTTAATATTCATAATGCACTAGATAACTTAGGCACTATTTACAGTTTAGTGAACAAATAGACTCGATCGGAGACCGTTTTCAACTGGTTTCTCTGAAGTAACTTCACCATCACATTTTTGGACTCTTCTTCGGTGTATTTTCGGTCGGCCGGAAACACAGTCTCGTCTAGTGACGTCACTTTGAACTCGTCTTCTCCATATACGGACATGATCTCATCGTGGTTGACGCAATAGGGGTGGTTGTAATACACCTGGTTAATTAGGTATTTTTAAGTTAAATAAGTTTCCAGTTAACCTAAAATTTAACTTAATCATTTTTTTATTAACTTTAATTAACTTATTCAATTAACTGGTTATATTTTGGTTATGAAAAATCTATACATATATATTTTTAGTGGTGATAAATAAAGTTGCTTCAAATGTTTTTTTTTATAATGAAAATTGAACTTACGTTTCGGTCATACTGGAAGATAGAACTCATCCAAGCACAGCCGACAGTCACCAAAGTTTTCACGTGCTCGAAATATTTCTTTCTCAAGTCTTCCTCAAATGCAATGACCGCCCCTCTCTCCCACACGCTTTTGAACTGACCTTCAATTTCAGCCGTGAAATTAAATATATCACAACAGTACATTTTGATCTTTCCGTCCAAACTTCTGAACAATTTTCCCTTCACAGCTGGACAATCGAGCTCTTCAAACGGAATGTCATCACGTTGGAAGACTTCGCGACACGCGCTTTGAGAAATCTCGACCGCTACAACTTCATGGCCTTTATCCGCCAGCCATTTTATGTCCACTGTTTTTCCGGCCATTGGGACCAAAATTTTCCTCAGCGGTTCGCCCGCGGGTTGAATATTCGGGTAATGCTTGAGCAAATTGTAGTTCACACTGTCCATATGCCAGGGTGAATAGCCTTTAGAGTATTTGGCGTCGTAAAATTCGCCCCCTCTTGCTGTTTTGTTAGCCGTGTATAGAATTTCTGTGTAACCAACAGGATTTTCGACTTCGATGTCTTTTTTTACGAAAAAGTTTCTCCCGTACGCGAAATTGATCTCAATCACCGACAGTTCTCTTATGTTACCATTCGTAATTCCTTTCATGTTTTCTACGACGAAAAACACCATTTTCGCGTTTTCGGCACAGACTGAAATCAGTTTCTCGCCGAAAGCTCTTCGTGCTTCGCGGATGTCGGGAAGCGTTGGCAACAACCCGATATCAAAGACGGCGTCAAATTTCACATCACCTGTATGATATGATCGGAAATGAAGATTGTATAGACTTAGTCGCTTGTCGGCCGAGTAGTATGTCGACACTTCGCCGTTGCTTGCAGCTAACGCATTCGGACCTTCTTGGAAAAAGGCAATCAGTTTCTCGCCGATTTCTTTGTCCTGTTCCACGACGTGAACTTTGACCCCAAGTTTCAACACTTCAGCGATGAAATCGAAGTTGGGGGAGTTTAGAAAGAGGACGGTAGTTTCTGGAGTGGGGGAGGGGATTATTAGGTCCACGTATTTTGACAGGTGATTGCAGAGAGTCCAGGGTGAGACGTACTCGGAGCTCTTAGTGATGGTCATCTAAAAAGAAAAACCGATTTTTTGTTCGAAAAAGCAGGGAGTTGGCCGTACGTTTCTACGAGTTGAAAGTGTGGTCAAAAGTCGCTCTCCTTTTTCTGAAATCATCTTTGGCATCACTGATTACTAATATTGAGATTGTGCGTCGCACCAAAAAGGCAAATTTCAGGTGAAAAGTTTTTCAAAAAAGGAACATTCGACCTTCTTTCTCAACGAAGTCTCAAAAGTTTTTTAAAAATGTCTCCTATCTTTTTGGAAGGGAGTTCTCAAAAGGGGGGTCGTTTTGTAAAACTTCAAGAATCCGAAAACTTCTTGGAGAGCCTAAGATTGAAATTTTTCGAGTTTCATAATTTTTTAAAACTATTTCAAAATTTTGTAAAATTATTCTTTAATTATCGTGGTATCACTAATTACAGAGAATAGACAGTTTTTTACTCACTAGAATAATTTTTTTTCTGTACAGTATTTGAACAAAAACATTACTTGCATGAATATTTTGATAAAAACAGAAAATTTTGATACCAGAAAGCTGAATTCGACGGAGCAGCCTTACCAATTTTACCTCCTTTATTGGAACCAAATTAAATTTTAGCTGACCTTTGGAAATTGAGGGCGCACGAACGACTTCTACGACTAAAAATGCAGAAATGAAATTAGGTTTGAACTAAAATCTTTAGCCTGCCTTCGGCTTCAGATATCTTATCTTATTTCACACTTAAAACGAATTAAAAGTTCATTGTAACTTCAAATCCAAGATCATATCAGCCTTGACTCAAGATAGTTAAACCAATTTTGCTCCCGTGAAGGACAAAAAGCAAGATGAAAAACAACTCAAATATCAGCAACCAGGATAAGGAGTTGATAGATTAGTACACGAGTAAATACTAATTAAAAGATTAGTACACGAATAAGTAGTGATTTAACTTTAAATCTGTTTAATTTAAGTTAAAGTGATGCTTCGGTTTGTGGTGCCAAAAAGTCTCTGGAAAATTGTTTATCTCTATAAGCTGAAAATATTGTCAAAGTCAAGGGTTGAACAACCAATATCATCTTATGAACAGAGTGCTGATTTAAAAACACCCACGATTTTAAACAAGTTGCCTCTGAAGAGTCTACACGACATCTGAACTGAATTTTGTATTGGTTGAGCTAAGTTAATCAATAGGATTTCGGATGAATGTTTCGACCACCTGTTGAAGCTGGCGTTAAATTTGGTTAAGCAATTAAATATGATCCTGATAAAAAGTCAATGTTTTGAATTAAAATGAAAAGTTTTTTCTATCTATTTTAGACTCCACGAAAAAAATTTTTTTGTGCGTTAAAATCCTTTAATTGTTTCTTATAAGGATATAAGAAAATTTTTGAAAAACAAACCTATTTTTCTTCTGATATCTATGGCGCTCGCGAGCAGCTGGAGTTATGTTTGAAACGAGATTGTTCAAGTTAAAAAGACCGGGTTATTCCAGTGAATTTTTACACGTATCAGTCAATGAGGCTGGTCAAATTGCTTCTCAACATCAAAATTGTTTAAAACCTGATGCAAATGAATTATATTTTAAGTTTCAATCTCGCCCAATTGATATTGACCAAAAATGCGCCTATAACTGTTAATTTGAGCTACACCTAGAAAAATTTAGTTGAGTGAAACATTAAGCTATTTTCATCGAAATTTGATTTTTAATTTTTCATTATTTTTGGGTTTTTTGCTTTTAGAATAGAAATGGGCAACAACATTTTTGGCTTGGCAAAATGAAAAATTATTTGAACAATTTGTTCGCTCATCCTCAATTAAGTTAAAACAAACTGGCCCTCTAAGGAGATAAAGTCATTTAAGAAATGAAAAAATTAAATACATGAGATGAAATCAAAATCATTGGCCCTGTGCATCATAAAACCTATTAAAAATCTTTCAAATAAAACAAAAAAAAAATTGAAGTAAAAATATTATAGAGTGTGCAAGAAAAGTGTTCCAATACCTACGCGCTCAAAACACATCACCGACGACACACTCTTGTATTCATATTTTTGAGTTCCCATTGCATGATCTTATGTAATAGTTCTCCAACTCGATCTCTGAAATGACCTCAAAAAGTTTGAGAAAAGAGATTGTGCAGCTAACAAATCAAAGCTGGTCATTTGTAGATGATGTTGCTTCTTCATTTCCAATCAATTCCTAAGCTAACGGCACTGCAAAATGGCCTTTCGGATAATTAACTCAGCAGGATGGCAGAAGTTCCATAGTATCAACAATCCCGAAATTGATAGGTTGGTGGCACGTTTCCTTTATCGTATTACGTTACGTGTCCCCTTTTTCACTGTTCTAGTGGCGCTAACGCTCGCATTGGCAATCGCAAAAAAATTTCTAAAAATTACTTTCAGATGAGTTTAAATACAGATATAGAGGGCTCTAAATTGGCCGGACTCAACTCTAGTAAAATAATCAAGAGGAAAAAGACCGCAAACGTTTGAAAGTTTTTCCTGTTTGCAATTCAACGTTTCGTTCATTCAACTGATAGATTTTCCCTCTCTAGAGAGTCATTTTTATTTAGCTAAACTCAGTGATTCCTCGCAATCACTAAGCTTGACCTGATAAAAATAATAGTGTTCCTTCCCAACAACAATTCTTTGAGATACTTTAACTGCACTCTCAGACTGCGAATGACAACTGTTAGCTTTCTTAACATTAATGTTCTCTAATTGACAAGAACCAAATGTACTCTAGCTTAGTACTAATTGCACTATCTAAAGATAGGCTGTCCGTAATTTTTTCGCTTTGTTTGCCTATTTGATTTTTAGTTACAGTTGTAATCAGCCCTTGAATTCCTGAAATTTACTCTGATACCTTTGCGCAAGGTTTTTATCAAAACCTTCCTCTGACGACAGTAGTATGGAAAATCAAGTTCATCAATGGTATCTCATAACTAATTTGTGCAAATATCAAGTCCATATTCAATTCAAAACCAAGTTTTGTTTACCTAAGCATTTTCCCATGGACTTTTCCTTATTGTGTCTTTACCGTTCCGGCCTCCTGGGTCTAGTGGGGGATCCTGTACAGATATAGCTACCACGTTTTAAAATTTATATTTTCCATCCATACTCTAATCCAATTCCAATTTTTCCGCTATCCGTGGAGCGTAGTTCATCTAATGGGGGTCTTTTTTCACCAAAAAGCCACCAATTTGAAACTTCCAATCCAACCACCCGATTTGGCTCAAAATGTAATACATAACTTATATGATCACTATTTACCAAAATCCAATGTTTCAGCTCCCTTTGCTCATTGGGGTCTGAATAATGACTTCGAGAAATCGGGTCGAGACTATTTTCTTGGGTCGCAACACCGAAAGTAGAGGTACAGGTCTTGGATTTTTAAACTAATCTTTCCTCAACTAGGTCTATAACAATTTAAAGTTTACTTCTATTTTAACCGCTAGGCAATGAGTTTGAGTTATGTTAGAGCCCTTGGCAGATCCAGAACTGTCATCACATGGGCTCAGGAGGTGGGAAACGTGTGGTTATTCGCATGCCCGGGTCGAATCATCACCAGTACATCTTCTATGAGATTCATAAATTTAGCTTTGCTAGTACCATTTTCAGTGGGTTACCCGCTGTTACTTTATTCGGTTTTCAACCATAGAAGGGACTAACTCCTCCAAGGACTCAAAAGTTTTTTTGGGACTTGATATTTTTCACATTTCTTCTAATTGTATTGATTAGTCAATAGCAAACTATGTACTATTGATTTGCCTTCCCGTGATTCCTCAGTTACTTTTTATAAATAACTCTATGGCAAGGGCAAGGGTAAGTGGGTTATTCTCCATAACTTAAATACGGTAAAAAGCCAACATTCTGCAGTAAATCCATCTATTCGCTCATTCCATCTATTCACTCAAAATTTTAAAATCATACATGGAAAGGAAAATTGTTCTATTAGATCAAGGCTCTGCCCCTAAACTACCCCATACTTATGAGGATTATCTACAACAACGAGCGGAGGGGAGAGGGAGCGGTGCGGGTGGATGGGGCTAGAGCAGATGGCCAGCTCAAATTGACACAAGGAACCTTTGCGAGGCCACTGCTGAAGCTTAAACCTCTGCTGCGACAAGTTTGTAAAGCGACAGGCCGTTTTTTTTGAGCTCCAAAACACCTAAGCGACGATACCCTCCACAAAAAGTGTAAGCGGTTGGATTTGTCTATAGATGGGGTTACACACGAACTGGTTCTAATTGAGTTTGCCGCCAAAATTTGAGCTATTTTCAGCACTGTCTGCATTTTTTCTGACTGGGGTCGTTTTTACGCAGCGCAGCTGGTTGTCGTTTTTATGGAGCTTTAGGAATTGTTTAGAGTACGACAGCGCAAGCAACTGTCCCGGTCCGAATCCAACTTTTTCACAGTTTTCAACCTGGTTTATTGCTGTTGGACCGCAAGACTCTCGAATTGAGTGTGCAGAGTATTTTAGCCGAAATCCTAATGGGACCTCTCTATGATAATCGAGATGACCACAGTAGCCCCGTTAGAACTAAACTGCGGGGCATAAACGCGGCCGAAATGGGGCGGAGGAGTATACTGATTTTACCGGGGTGAAACTGAGGGGCCTCGAAAGGAGGAGGGACATTCTGTTTTATGTACAGTGATGCATCCAATTACGACATAGGTAAACTTGTATTTTAATAAACTGTGTATGTGTTTTAGAACAATGAATATTTCGAAGTTGACTCAAATTGTTCCTACGATGTAAAAAAAGAACTCAGTAAAAAGAGTTTTTTAAAGATTTTTCGAATGACGACTAAAGCTGCTTTAATATGATATTTTTATATTTCCATTCCGCTAATAACTTGTGGTAGTTGATTTTGCGTGGATAAAAAAAATCAACCCACTCGAATTCAACCTTCCTCCTCATTTTCAAAACCAGGATTTATTTGCATTGTTTTGAACGAAATCAAGACAAAATGCTCTTTGAGGCAACTGGTTAACTCTCCGTAATCTGTATAGTGCTTAAAAAACGTCGAGTTTTTCCTTTAAGAACCATACAAGTTCCTATACGGGTACGTCCGTTGATTCCATGAAACAAATGTAGTTTTTGCCTGTAGCACTTCTCTTCGAGAAAATCATGGTTCTGGCGATTTTTTTCCTTTTTGTTTTAAATTTTTTTTATTACATTAAGCGCCAGCAGAATACAGGCATTTGGTAATTGATCACCTGCCTTAATTAAAAAGACAGCAAATTTTGTTAGCAAAGGGAAACTTGACTTATAACTTTGCTAAAAAGTCCACGAATTCCACGAAAACAGAATGATTTTGAGTTTGTAAAACTTCGAAAATCTGAATATATTTTTTATAGTATCGAAAAAATTGTCATTCCAAATTTGAGTCTCTATAAAATATATTTCTTATAAATATGATTTTTAATATGTCAGATTAATTAAAACTAATTGCAAAGATTTAATTGTAAAAGTTTGTTTTAATTGGAGTGATAAACAAAATTCGAAAATGTTTCCGCACTGGGGCCGTGTCTATGCAGCTGGTTGCCTTTTTTGTAGCTTTAGAAAGCACAGAAAAATCAACAGTGCAAGCAATTATCCCGGCCTCAATCCATTTTTTCCCCAGTTTTCAATCTGGTTTAGTGCTGTTGGACCGCAAGACTCTCGAATTGAGTGTGCATACTTTAGCCAAAGTCCTAATGGGACCTAACGACCAAAATCGAGATGACCACAGTAGCCCCGTTTGAACTAA